CTACCCGCTTGCCCATTCAGAATTGCATGTAGTGTTTTTCCAGTCACACCTGCCACAGTTCTTATAACTATCTTGATGAGAGAAAAAACGCTGGAAAGAATACTGATTCCACACCATAACCACTGACATTGCCACTGAGACCAAACATGAACTCTATACAATAGGGAATCAATTCTTAATTTCCTTATTTCTCAAGTAAAATCTCTTCTGTTATATCGACCTGTCACCTCCAGACCATGTGGAACCAAATACCTATTTCTTGCTTGCCTCCCAAGCTCTCTGGGTATTGATTCTGGAAATGTAATAGTTTTATTGCCTTCCTTTCTCAATTTCCCTGTCTTACTTGAAACCTGGCTGTCTTCAGAAGGACCTACACTTTCCTCTACACTCTTAAATGGAAGCATTCTTCTTTGGCACCACCATGACTCAAGAATAAGAACAGGGGTCAGTGTATCCTTGTCACTCCTCCTCCACCTTCAGGCCACTGTTCTCTACCCATGCCATCCTTTTTCTTTCCAATCCACTGTTTTAATAAGAAAGTAGTGCCTCTGCATTAGCTGAGCTAAATCATTATCTCTCATTGTAATCATCCACTAACTTTCCAGGCATATTCCTGTCACTTATGGAAGATTCCATCTCTCAGAAACTTTTTCTGTCCATCCCAACATCAGCCATCATCCCAGGAGATTTTCTTTCTTACACGGATATTTACCTTCTCCACATCTACCATAGACATACCTTTCTATGGCTGTGCCAACATTATCTAAATGAAATCATACACCCTCCAAAATCACTAAAAATCACAGTCTTCTTAACATTCTATGGAGCTCAGTCATTCAACCATCCACTGATGTAACCATTTCTTCACAGCAGTGTGCTTGCTAATGCCATGGTGACCCCTTCACAACCTTTCCCACTTCCTTCTCTTCTGTCTGTTTTTTAGTCTTCTAGACCTTACTGAGCTATGATTCTATGCTGAATCTTTTCAATCACTCTCTGAAAAACACCCTTTTTAAAATTTTTCCATTGTATTTACCTGGAGAAAAGACCATAAAAGAACACCACAGATCAAGCCTTTTCTTTATATCACTGCTTTGATTTGGGTTTAGATGCCCACCCCACAAAGCCTCACGTGGATGAGTTGGGACTCTCTTTTTCAGAGGTACTTGAATCTGGAATGTGTGATGCTGGAATTATGGGTGTGTGATTACTTAGCCACTACATGTGAGTGATTAGCTTGGCATGGCCCTAATCCCAGTAGCCTGAATAAAATAAAAAGAGCGGAAAGATGATGTTAAACTCTTTTGTTACCTTTGCTGCCTTGTGTGGGCCATATTGTGTCTACTCTGCCATGCCTGCTTGTCATCCCTGACTTGGAGTCAGCCGATTATGGACTAAAAGCTCTCTGAACTACAAGCCAACTAAACCCCTTCTCTTTTAACTTTGGGTGTCAGGTATTTGGTTTCAGCGATGAGAGAAAAAGTAACTAACACAATCACTCTTCATAGTCTTTCCACGTACTCTCTAATATGTCCTCAAATACCATCCCTCGGTGATAATTGAAAGGGGCTTGAAAAATCACAGCCTTCCCAATTCCTATCTCCACATCATGTAAATTCAGCAATGACTGTAAGGAATAAAAACAGTGCTAACAACATGGTAAAGTATTCAATATGCTTATAATTATAATATTATCATTATGTAATTCTTATGCCCTCCAGTACCCCCATTAATTAGAAACAAATTTTAAACTCCTTGGCAAACATTTAAAGGCTTTCTTCTGAATTTCATTCTTTGTCATGTCTTACCTACAATCTAATTCTCTGAATCACTTCTAAGTCTGACTTTCTTATTCTTTCATATGCATTTGTATCTCACTGTCTATCCCCTTTATTTCAATTTTATCTCTCTTTACACACATAGAAGACTTTCTTCTTCATTTTTACTTTCTCTCTACCTTTCAATCCAGTCTTTATGTTGAATTTTCCCTCCTGGCTCTCATACTATTGCCTGCAGAACTTTATCTTCTCACCACGCTACAATTATGAAGCACATTATTGTTTAACTGTTTTTTCCACTGGACTTTTAATTCTTTGTGGACAAATGCTGTAAGTTTTTAATCTTTCTAATTGAAATGCCTATAAGTACATAGTAACATGATAAAAACATATGGGAGAAAGGACAAAGAAAGGAAAAAAATTTTAAAAGGAAGATGAAGAAAGGAATAGAGGGAGGAAGAAAAGAGGCAAGGAGACATAATGATCCCTCTAATTATTTGATACAAAGGTATAAAGCCATAAGCAGACTGCTTGCTATATTAATCCTTCCAGGGGGCATGATTCTTCTGCAGACAGTAAAATACAATGAAACAGACTAATGGGGAAGAAATTTGGATGATAGCCTTCCCAGTTCTCCTCAAATAATTGTCATCTACTATGTTCACACACATCTCCAGGCCTATATTAAACCTGTTTAAACTTGTAAATAAAATGATGATATGGACTTGGGAATAGATGTTACCTGAAGGCTGTGTCAGAACCTGTGACCTTAAAGCAACACTTTCATCATCCTTCCTATCGCCAATACCCTCTCAAAGAAATAATAATTCTTAATACTAATATCAAGCTGCTCATTTAGTGGCTCTGTAACCTAAGTCTGATTTACTTCTCAGGGGAAACATTAGTTTCATCTATCTATAAAATGGGGGCAGTAGGTCATGTACTTTTCTGAAACTGAATAAAGTTGTAGATCATTTGTCATCTGTGTGGTCCCTCGTGTGCTGCTGTGCTTTCTCTCTCATGCTTAATCTTAGGTGAGTCCTATAGATCTTCATAGGTATTTTAACTATTTACAACATTCTAGTTACCCAGAGTGTAATGAAAAGAAGGGTACAAATTATGGGATATGTAAGGGAACTAAATATTCAAAGAGAAACTATTGAAAGATTTTTCAGAAAGCATTGCTACTTTGAATAAGAATCATACAAATTAAGCAAAGAGTATTGAGTTGAGAGATATAAAGAGTGACAAAAGCACAATACTCTATTGTAGCTCCACGTGCTTGCCTCACAGGGTAAGGTTATGGAACACATGTTGTCTGCTTGGCTGCCTGGAGGTTGCTGGTGTCATTAATTGGACTCTTTAAATTCTTTAAGCTAAAAGGGAAGTATGAATTTCAAAAAATAGTTCCAGAAGAAGTTATGAAATGGATCATATGTGAAAGTTTGTGAGGAATATTACAGTGAGGAAATTTAAGAGAATAAGCAACTACTCCCCCGTTATAACCTCCAAAGAGTACACACTATTTTATTTTATTTTATTTGTACTGGGGATTGAACTCAGTTCCTTGTACTTATGAGGCAGGCAGCAACACCACTGAGCTAAATCCTTGGCCCAGAATTTCTTTCTTTTTTTCTTTTTTCCAGTACTGGGATCAAAGTATACCACATTTTTACACTTGACCTTAGCCAAAAGGCTGAGAAGTGATGCACCACATTTTTAAAAGTCAGAGCCGCCAGCTTCAGTCTTGTTATTAAGACTAAGCATGAAGCAACAATTCAAAACTGCATTTGGTCCACCACCTGCCTTGTAAGTGCAAGGACCTGAGTTCCATCCTCGGTACCAAAAAAAAGAGAAAGAAATGAAACTGCATTTGGTCATGAATGAGAGAAGTGAGACAATCACATATACATGTGAACTCAGGCACATGCACATACTTACACTTTCTACAATTTATACTCATGCACTCTACAATTGCTTCCAATAATTCACCTCTATCTTCCTTTGTAAATCTTTATTTGCTTAACATCTATGTATGCTGCCAACTTCCTGCCTTTCTTAGACCTGAATAAACACTTTAAAAGGGGGAAGATGAAACACACTGTCATTTCTGTATTTCTATATTTCTATTTATCTATACATATTCCCAAGTAAGAAAATTATTCATAAAAGATGATTATTCATAAAATCTATCAAAACTCATTTAATTCTATGCCCTCAAAGCCCAGACTGTAAACCTGCCATACTTCCCATCCAATATCCCATACTATTTGATCAAACAAGGAAGAAACAGAACATGTGGCTATTATATTAATAGAAGGGAATTCACACAGCAGTTTGACCAAAGCAACCTGTCTACAGGCATGAATTCTCTGAGCAAGGGTACATGGTGACCACTAGTTAACAAGGAATTTGAAAGGGTTCTGATTAACAAGTAAATATATAATTTATTGTGCAAACAGCAGAGAAATTTGGCTAGTAATCTTGTTAAGGGGGAAGAGATGTAACCCCCAAACCTAATAGATATTCACAACGCAAGTTTGTGTTCTCCAAAATTGAAGAAAAAAATTCTAGGAACAATGAAAGTTAAAAGTAGGAAAAATTTATTGAGTGCAAGAAAGCTTCTGTCTAAGAGAGACTGAAGGGGAACAGGAAAGTGGGCATCCCGTCCACCCCACTTCTCAAAAGAGGTTTTATACAGCTAAACCATGTGGTGAGGCAGGTACAAAGTGGAACAAAACCAAAAGACCTAACGGAAAACTATAAGGTGGGCATGAGGTGGGGCAAAACCATGACCAACCAGTAAGATTAAAAGTACAGTCACCTAAGTGATATTGATTAAATGGGGGGTCAAGTGGGAAAACAAGTCACATAGCAAGTGTACAAGGATTTTCAGTAAGTGTGGGGGTCAGGTATATTTCCTGGAAAGGATGGACTAAGACCTTGGCCTCCTACCCAGGTGATTGACACTTATTTAGAATATGGTTCTGCCACCTACATCACCAGGTACCTCGCAAGCCTAAAGTCCTGGAGTTTGGTCCCCTGTACCCCCCCCACCGACAGAATATCAATCACTGCTATTTATCCCTAGGGGAAGCACAAGGGTATAAGTAGATTCCCTCCTTTTACAGTTCTGGCCTTCAGTGAATGTGCCTTGATTGTCCTCCATGTTGGCTCCTTGAGGGAGGCCCTGTCAGCCTACAAGATATCTAATTAACTTACCTGTGTGCAATAATCTGAAGAAGAGTGAAGGAGATACTGAAAATTCATTAGCAGGCTGTTACAAGTCAGCAGAAATGGCAGCGACAGGAACTAAGGCTCTGCAGGGAAAGTGGGAAGAACACTCATAAGTAGCAACCTCAGAGGTTGTGGAGGGATTGAATGTGAAGGCTGGGCGAGAGGAAAGGAACCAAAGCAGTACACAGATTTTCATTTGGTCTGTAGAAAAAAGTGACTTATCAATAGAGAGTTCTATGAATGAAATAACTGGTCTACAAAAAAGAAGATTCAGGCTGTGTTCTAATTGTTTGCCACTAATTTCTACGCAACCGTAAGACAATCCCTTTCCCTCCCTAATTGTTAGTATTACAACTATAAAATTATAGGATAAAATTCCAGTTGTAAGATTTTTTTACTGTCTATAACTTTCAAAAGGGAAGTATATCCCTCATTGGTAGTTTAAACTAGTAGTTTATAATCCTTTAAAAATGCTCAGTATGCAAAACTCTTAATGGAGCAGAATATAATGTAATAAAGAAAGGTTTCTTGGGAGAGCCACGCCTTATCCCACCTGGAGCTGCCATCGCTCCAGCATCAGGAAGGTAGCCCCACGGGTGCCCCTGAACCCCCATAGCTCCCCTTACCCCCCCACGCATTATCTGACCTCCTGATTGTGTCTTTGGACCCACTCTGCAGAGGCAGAGGTGGTCATAAAGGGTATGTTTCTGAATTCCCAACATTGAACATCTTTAAAGAAAGGGCGTGGGAAACCTGCAGTAGCACGGTGTGGAGTTCAACCATTCAGAAGGCAGGGGAACTCAATCTGGGCCTTGCAGCCCAAGGCCAGACTGTGTCATGGGGTTCAGCCATCAGCTAACTGAGATCAGGGGTCTTGTGTCCTCACTCTGAGCCATTAAATGGTAAATATACTATGTTGAAAAGTTTGTTCACTGCAGACAGGTTCTGGACTGCTTCTTGATTTCAATTTAATTCAAATGGTTTAAGGGTGACAGACTAGTGATTACCACAGGTGGTCAGTGTCCAAGTTGTGCTTGATCATAATGTGTTGCTGATTGTATCAGTTGGGATAAAGGATTGTGGTTGATTCGATGAGCTGTTTTCTCTGATGTTATGAGGATGAGAATGTCTGTGGGTCGTTACAGACCCAGAAGCTAGGGCACAACTGTATCAGGAAGATTTGGGTGATAGCCCAGAGATTAAACCAAGGACAGCCCGACAACAAAAATAAAAATGAGAAAACACTTAAGCAAGACACAAAGACAGACTTCCAGTTCACCAATGGCAAACAGTAGGGCAAATGAGGATGAAAAGGCCGATAGTGAACCACCAGGACACCCTGAACTCAAAGCACAGGAAGTAACAAAACAGATCAATCAGGCTCTAGAAAAATTCATAACAGAAATAATTTCCCAGATAACCATAGAGATACTGAGCACAATGGAAGTCATAATTCGAGACTCTAGAGCAGAAACTGACAAAAAATAGATGAGCTCAGGACCATGATAGAAGCCATGAAGGCCCAGCACAAGAAAGAAATGGAAAAAATCAACGCCCAACATAGGAAAGAAATGGAATCCATAAAACAGATTCAAACAGATATCCAGGAGATTAAACACTCTATTGAAAGTGTATGCAACAGAATAAAAGAATGCGAAGATAGACTCTCAGATATAAAAGACAAGATTGCAGTCAGTGACCATGAAAAGAGAGATCTTAAAAACAGTAAGAGATCATGAGAAATCGATCCAACAACTCCTAGATGATGCAAAGAACAATAATATAAGACTGATAGGAATCCATGAAGTAACAGGAGAAAATACAAATGACTTAAAAAAGCTGTTCACAGAATTAATGATAGAAAACTTCCCAAATAGAGGGGAAGAATTTGACATTCAGATAACTGAGGCATATAGGACCCCAACTAGCCACAATAAAAAAAATCTACACCTAGACATATAATAATCAAGATCCCAGAAACCCAACAGAAGAACAAAATACTACAAGCAGTAAGAGAAAAGAAACAAATCACATGCAAAGGAAAGCCCATCAGAATAACAGCAGACTTTTCAACATAAACCCTTAAGTTAAGGAGAGCCTGGAGTGAGACATTTCAAGAACTAAAAGAAAACAACCTCCAACCTAGACTGATGTATCCTGCAAAACTTTCTTTCAAAATGGATGGGGGAATAAGTTACTTCCACAATAAAGAACACCTGAGAAACTACATGAATACCAAACCAGCACTACAAGCAATTCTAAACAAGATCCTAGAAAAAGACAATGAAGACAACAACACCATGAGGCCCAACCGAGCAAATCAAATAGGCAAGGCAAGAAACTAAAAGGATAAGGTGAAAAAGTAAAAAGAGTCAACAAAAGGCCAATAACATGTCAATGATAAGTCAGTACATATCAGTTATAACCATCAATGTCAATGGCCTCAACTCACCAATCAAGAGAAATAGACTGGCAAAATGGAATAAGAAGCAAAATCCAACAATATGTTGCATGCAAGAAACACACCTAGTGCAAAAAGAAGCCCATAGACTGAAAGTGAAAGGATAGAAAACAATTCTCCATGTGACAGGAGTCCAGAAAAAAGCAGGGGCAGCAATCTTACTTGCAGACAAAGCAAATTTCAAACCAAAATTGATTCTAGTATTATTGATGTAGGACGGTACTGTATCATACCTCTATGAATGTAAAATATCTAGTACCTGCTTTATCATAAATAGTAGCGACCGTACTTTATCAGAGCTATATTTAATGATATTACTCTAGAATGTTCTCTTTCCAGATGATGATTAAGATGCTAATAAAAAAAAATGGTGTCAGGTACCACAACAGCAACAGAACTGTGCTGTTTTCTGGATATTATTCTTTGTTTTGTTTTTTTTTAATGAAATGCGCTGAATGTCTATAATTTTGTTCAGATGACTGCAGAACCTGGAAAAGCTGTTGCTGCTAT